CAATGCATCTCGTTACAAAAAAATCATTGTTAATTGCTTATCAAACATTACTACTTACCCATAAGTAAATCGAGGCTTAAGCTTGAAAATTATACCTTTCACTTACTGATTTTGTGGTTAAACTTGCGATTGCATCTGTATTGTTCTCATTTTGATGATCAAATCTCGTTAAGTGAAAGGCATATATACAATATAGTTGTTAAGATAATTATGTAAAAGATCAGATATCCAAATTTATCTCCTATTTTTTCTATAATTGTTTTTGGGTATTAATAATCATTGATTTTCATATCCAATCTTCAACCATGAAATAATTTGTGGTTTTACAATCTAGAAATCAAGTTAAATCTCATTCATGTAAACCTCGTATACGAAACACGAACATCGATGTTATTCATTGATTGTTTGACATAGAACCAAATGCAAAAGATCCCAAATAATTGTGATAACTGGGTATTCGGATATAAAAGTTCGGAGTGATTTTTGAAAGGTGATGGTAAGTGGAGGAGTTTAAATTGGTGTATGTGCTTAAATGTTTAAAATAATCCCCACTGTTTAAATGTTATTATATATGAGATATTTGTTTTATCTTATGGGAAAGTGTGATTAATTATTTTAAAAACCTCCAGCTGTCTCTTATGGTTTAAAGTAAAGTATTTTATCAAACAATTATCTTATCTCATTGGTTTTGGTGGAGAAAAAGAAAGAAAAATCTTCTGTGTTTTCTTGAGTTCGAGAGAATAACAAAACCAAAAAAGAGGGAGAAGTAGAAGCTGATTTCTGTGATTTCTTTTTGAATCTTTGTTGTTGTTATCTGCCTCTTTGTGAATCAAGGTGATTTTAAATTTATCAACTTTCCTTATTTGGTATTTGAAATTTTAACCGTATGGTTCTTATATGGGGATGATGATAAAATTGTTTCTGGATGCTATTTTAACATGATGGTGAGTCTGGGTATAGAATTGTATGGTTCTTTTTATGAGTTTATGTTATGAAACTGCTTTGATATCATTATTGACAAAAATGGTGGGCTTTTGTTATGATTATATCTTGTGTGAAAATAAGGATGACATATCAAGAAGATGTGTATACTGAGATAAAAGTGACATATCAAAGAGATGTGTGTATACCAGGATAATCATGAAATTGTGAAATATGGGTTTTGATCATATGTTTTTGTTATCGCATCATTGTGATGCGATGACCTTGAGTTATCGCATCTGTGTGATGTGAGGACTTGGCCTGTCGCATGCAATTGATGCGACAAGATGTTATTATGATGAAGTGGAAATTGTTTTATAACCAGAGGGGCTCTAGTTAGTCTGACCTATGGATGAATAAAATATAAATTTGAAAATATCATAAAAATCTGACAAAAAAAATAATATTAGTGTCAAATTAATTATCTAAAATTTCTCCTTTTTTGTGTAATTTCTATATCAATTTTTTATTATAGTTTAATTTAGGTTCAATAACGAAATAATTTATATTTGATTTAATAATACCATCTTTTATAAAGATAATAATTAATTATTTTGTTATAACTCAACAATTATCTTAAATATATTTTACATTTTTATATTTTAAAATGAAATAATTATTCTCTATTTGATTATGTTTATCCACAGTTAGTTACACGAATTCAAACATGAAGATTTAATAAGTTGTATTTACGCACAATTTACTTTTAATCTTGATATTTAATTAATATACATCAACAAACAATATTTCATACATAAAAATTAATTTTTAAAATTTTTTGTCAAATATTTTATTATATAATATACATAAAGTATATGGAGATAATTTCTTTTTTATATAAATCATAAAATATATATTTATTACTTTGAATAAAAAGTAAACCTTGCACTTCTTTTAACAAGAATTTTGGCTCCGCACTTTTGGGTTAATGTTTATGTTTAAAAGTCGACATTTGTCTTGCTTTGATTTTCGTTTCGGTCGTTTCACGTCTTGAATCAAGACTTGGACCAAACTTTGATTTTTGCTTTAAATTAAGAAAATTTTGTTACTAAAACGTTTATGTTTTTGTTTGTATTATTAATAGTTGTGTACTCGCGCAATGTGGCGGGAGCCGTGAATTTTAACGATTTTGAAGCTTCATTGGTTTTATTAGAGAAAATTTAATGATGATATAAGTTACAGTTAATCTTTACATATTAATACAATTTAAATAAGAGTTATGATTCTAATTACAGTCTATCTATGAAAAAAAATTGTATGACAATTTAAAATCCAACATATTTAAACGACTTCACAAATGTGTCCGATTTACACTAGTAACAAAGAATCAAGAGATCGAGAGCGAGAGCGAGACTGAAAGTTCTAGAGCAATTGAATGAGAGATGAATGAGAGAACTTTTAATAACTCATGGTGAATTTAATTTTGAATATCACAATGGGAGATGAGAAGAAGACATAGAGGTATGAGAGGTGAAGACATGAGTGAAATGTGTCAAAAGTATTTTGTGAACATGACAAGAAAAAGTATTAACAAACATTGGTAACTTGTACTATATGTTATTTTAATTGTAGATTAAAAGATTTTAAGACTGAATGCATAAAGTAGTAGTACTTAATGCATTATAAGTTGTTTTTAAGACTTTATGCGTAAATATATAGTACTTTATGCATTAAAAATTATTTTTAAGACTTTTGATAAATTTGGTTTATAAGGTAGTATAGATAAATAACAACAAATTTAATTTTTATATATTTAATATTTACTTTAACAAATTGTTATATCCGTAAAATGTTGATTTAAAAGTGTCATTTGGTCAATATTTCACAAGTAGCATTTTTATAACTTGTTAAAATATTAACTTTAATTATCTTAAACAGATTTTCCAAAATTTATCTGACATAAAGAATCAAAACGTAAGATCTTCAGAAGAAAATTACATTTAACCCTGACAGATTATTCATTTCAGATATTACAAAATTTCTTATATTATGAAAATATTTTACAAAAAAATAGATTTTATACATTATTAAAAATACTATTTACAAAATTTTGGCTATTTTAGTTGATTAAGTAAAAAATAGCTATAAAATAATATCAAAAATCCATACGAGCTATCTTGGACAATTCCTACTCAAATCAAATGATTACGATCAATTGATTATAATATTTATATAACAGTTGAAATCATGTAATAAACGATTATGTTATTCTCTATATATATATATATAATAT